ACACCCCCAGTTCCAGCTCCTCGGGGGACGACTCCGTGTTTGCCCATGACCTGCTGCCCCCGGCCCCGCCCAGCAGTGGGGGCCCGCAGACGTGAAGGGCCCCGGCCTTCAGGCCGAGCCCCCACCAATGTGAGAGTGGGCCCCAGCCCACCACGCTGCTCTTGGGTGTGTCGTCAACCACTGGGGCCCAGTGGCCCAGGCCCGAGACCTGGCATGGGTGGACGGATGGACAGACAGCTTTGCATCTGTGTGTGTGCGTGTGCGTGCGCGTGTGTGTGTGTGTGGGCGTGCGCGTGTGAGAGTCTCGGGGTCCCCGGTGCAGGGGTCCCCGGGGTGCCCGGCCTGCTGTACAATGACCTCCTGGCCACCTGTGCCAGCAGCACCAGGGGGACCGAATGTAGAATGTAAGGGGGCTCCTTCCGAGGGCCCTCCCCAGGCTCCCCTGTCCCTCACTGTCACCCCATAGGGAGCAGCTCCGGGCTCTGGCGTCTCCTCCAGGTGCCCAAGCTGAGCCTGCAGGGAAGCCCCCGCGTGGCGTGCCTCCGNCCTGAAGGCGGGAGCCTTGAACTTCTATCCGAAAGGTTTATTCCAGAGATGAGTGTACATTTATATAAGTAGATGCTGCGTGTGATACACACACATATATATAAATATCTATATGGAAGAAGAAAGGCAGGGACGGCGGGGCACGGGACCCCGGGGGGCCTGGGTGGGAGGCCCCCTGTGGGCGAGTGAGACAGACACAAAAACCGCCAGAAAATCCTGGAGGGGCTCTCTTGGCAGGCACCACAGTTTTGTTTTAAAAATTGTACCTGGACCTGTATATTTGTAAAGGTATTTATGAAACCCCAGACCCCTGCCTCCCACCCCCCCAAAAGCAGCTGTAGTGTTTAACCCACCCCATGGCTGGGGCTTCAGTCTTAACTTATTAACAGCTGAGAAGGTCTGTGCTTCGTTCAGAGGGGCTGCTGAGGGTGTGCCCGGCGCCGGGCACCCCTAGCCCGTACCCTAGGCTGGAGCAGCCCCTCCCACCCAAAGGGTCGTTCGTAGTGTGACGCTGAGTCCAGCGAGGATATTTTCTTTCCTTTGGCTGCCTTTTTTGCAGGGGAATTCGATTACTATAGGATTTTTCTTTAGGAGATTTATTTTTTTGGACTTCAAAGCAAGCTGGTATTTTCGTACAAGTTCTAATTGCCATGTGCTCCGGGCGGGGAGGCCGTTTCT